TACTATCCTAGCACTTCACTGCTTCAACCAAAAGCTTGGAGCAGCAGCAATGTAATATTTGTAACAAGAAAGATTGTGAAGGTGAGCCAGAAGGAGAAGCTTTCAATTTACCAGCTGACCTACATTTCTACTCTCATCTATGGTCACAAGCTCTGGGGAGCGACCAAAAGAGCAAAACTGCAGATAGAAGTGGTGAAAATGAGTTTCCTTGACAGGTTGTCTATGTTTTCCCATAGAGATATAGTGAGAAGTTTGGTCGTTTGGGAGGAGCTCGGAATAGAGCCGCTGCTCCTCCACATTGAAAATAGCCAGCTGATGCGGCTCAGGCATGTTGTTAGGATGCCTCCTGGTCGCCTCCCTGGTGAGGTGTTCAGAGCCAGGAAGAGACCCAGAGGAAGACCCAGGACACACTGGGGGGGCACTATGTTTCTCAGCTGGCCTGGGAGCATACTGGGATTCCTCTGAATGAGCTGGCCCAAGTGGCTGGAGAGAGGAAAGTCTGGGCTCTTCTGCTCAGAGTGCTGGCCCTGCAACTTATTGCCAGAGTAGGAGGAAGATAATAGATGGATAAATAATATTTTTGTTTTAAAAGAAATTAAATTATGTTATGCACTTTTGATGTGGAATCTACTATGATACTGTGGGAATTTCATATTTTACTCAAATTGATCACACTGGAAATATTTCATACCAACGCATATTCTTAGTGACAAAATGACTAAGTATTAATACTTTTCAATGTGCTGACATTGTTTCCTCAAACAAATATTATTTTATTTTTTCCTGTTCTATATTTTACTTATAGTCAAACAACTGATAACATTTTTGTCACATCAGTTTTGCATTGAACAAAGCAAAGGCCTACTTTCAATATCCTGAACTGTTGATTTTTGACAAAAGATCTGGACTGTGTAGTCTATTGTCCTTTAGAATGACGTGAACTGCATTCTGTTTGTATTGAGAAGCCTAAAAACAAAAATCAATAGAAATAAATCTTAAAGTGAAATTATGGCTTGGGAAGTTGTAGGTTTCTCATCAATCCCAGCGTCAAAGTCCAGTAGGTAAAGCATATAAATAAAATTCAGGGCTTGTTCTGGGTTTTATTTCGAGTTGTCACTGAGCTAAACAAGTAGCAAATTCTTCTGGTTTGCAGCTTGATGGGACATAATCCCCAGATTTGGGAAGCGGAGCATGTCGGCTCACAGCAGTGGATGTTTTCACTCCTAAGAGAAGAGCTGTTGTATTTTAATGTTACACAGCCATTTATCTCTATAAGCAACGTAATATGCATTCACTGTCCCTGTGGAAATGGAAAAAAAAATTGCTTCGAGTTTAGTTTCTAAAGAACAGCATTCTTTTGGATGTTCCAGAAGTGTTTTTACCACCCACCGCAGGAGTTTTCAGAATAATACATGGACATCCTTAGTCGTTCCAGAAAAGCCGGCAAGCAGAGGATTTTCTCACCATAGGCAGGTGACCTCTCAGTTTTTGGGATTGGGGACTGAAGGCTTGGAGGGGATGATTGTCACATAATGACATTCCTGAAACCCAGAGATGGACTCCAGAGTCCTGTTAAAGCCACTCTTGCTGATCTGGAAATGTTTGTTTGGTAGGTTATTGTAATAAAGTGAAACCTTTACACTTGGTGCGTGTTTGAGCAAATGCTGCTAGATTAAGGAAGGGGCCCATTTTTCAAGGTATTTTGAAGGGGTTTTATTAAAGCTGAGATGTTCCAGTTGTAATCAGAAAATTTGATTTTGCCTTTAAGAAGTTGCCTATGTTTCTCTTTTTTTCTATTATTTCTCGCCTTTTCCTATTTTGTGTCTTTTATTTTTATTTTTTTACTTTTAATTTGAACTCAAAAGGGATCCAGGTTTTACAGGAAGCAGCATAATGAACTGATTTTGTGTAGTGTGCCTTCCTTCTGGTAAAGATTCACCGGCAGAAGTGAAGGCAATAAAGCAAAAAAAAAAAAAAACCAAAAAACAAAAAACAAAAAAAACAAAAGCAGTTATCGGATTTGAACATCCTGCTTCTCGATGTGCGTTAAACCGCCGCTGATGTTGGATGGATATTATTGGAGAAAATTCACCCTAGTTAATTCTTTGTTGAAAGTGACTGTCATCATTCTTTTTCACCCGTCACCATTATTGCAGAAAAGACAAACCCTCTGTCAGAGCGGCTTAAAGTAAAGTACGCCGGCTTAACACGTTATCACGTTTTTGACCTTTAACAATATCTGTTTTATGGTTTGTTGCGCAATTTCTACTGAAGAATCTTTGCAGGATGCGTGAGCCAGGTCGGAGGTTTTACTTGTTGTGGATTCACGTACAGTGTCTTAAAAAAGCTGCACGTCTTCAGCCACAAAATTCAATGCATTGTATTTAGATTTTATACGGAGGCACAAAGTGAAAGAAAAAGTGCACATAATTTACAAGAATAACAATAATAATGGTAGACAAAAAATCAAACCACCTTTTTAAATAGACCTCATCGGTGTCTAATTGAAACTCAGCACAAATCCAGATGTTCTGCAAAAGCCACAGAGAACAAACAACATCATAAAGACCAAGGAACACAGCGCTGCCACTGCAACGGTCCAGGAAGATTATCTGGTCGAGAGTACAAACGACCTCTGCAGGACAATGGCCCTAAACATGCAGCCAGAGCTAAAATGCAGGGATGGAGATCAAAGCCTGTGTGTTTCAATGGCCTAGTCAAAGTCCAGACACAAATAACATCAAAAATATATGGCAAGACTTGAAAATTGATGATCATAGACACTCGTTCTACCACCTGACAGAGTTTTAGGTATTTTTCAATGGGCGAAGCTATAAGCATGCCACATTTTAGATTTTACATGTAAAAACTTTTGAAAAGTGGCAAAAATTTATAAAACTTACTGCTAACCGACTGGAAAAAAAATAAAAATCCCCACTGAAGTTTGTGACTGTAACGTCTCAAAGTGAGAAAAGTTGAGAAGATGTGAGGGAGAAATTTCAACTTCTACATGTGAAAAAAACAAGTGAAAAAAATATTAAAACTGTAATTACAGGGCAAGGTGGAGGTGCAAAGCATTTACTCAGGGTGACTGGATACAAATGCACTGCATACGTTCTATGTTTTTATTTGCAAAACGTTGATAAAAGCATGAATTCTTTTCCCTCTGCTTCACTATTATGCGCTAAGTTGTGTTGGTTGATCTCATGAAATCAGTGATGTTTGTAAAAAAGAAATATGAAAAAGTGGAATTCACATTTTTGACAACTTCTATCTGGCTAACATGATAGATAGACGTTTATAAAGTTTATAAAGTTTTCCTCATTTCGAAAACCGACAGATTAACACTTTATGCTTCTTTTCTGACACTTCATCTTCCTGTGTAAATGCACATCCCTGGAGTTACGTATGCTATTTTGTTTTCTACGGCCCGTCTTGTAAAAAGGAAGGCAGCCAGGCATGTAGCAGTCAGTACTCTCTCTAGCTCGTCCCGCCTCAGCTTGAGGATTTATGGCCAAGTCATCGCTACCACTCCCCTACCCCCTGCCTCTCCCTTCGCACCCCCAACAGCCCCCTGAGCAAGAAGCTGAGAAGACGCGGCTTGGGTCCTCGCTGAAATTCTGCACCCTCCTGCTTGACGCACCGCCACCTCATTTTGTCTCCTTTCAGTGTCCTGCAGGGCGACGCCACTGACAGCCCTGTTTGACACCTAGGCTCCAGTCACCTGAAGCTACAGCCCCCCATCATCCTCTTTCATCTTTACCCTCCGTCTCGCTCCTTTCTCCTGGCCCCTCCCACCCCACCCCACCACCTCCTACACGTCAAAATTTGGTACCCAAATCAAAGGTAAGTCTGCATTGTTTAGGCTCAAACAGTACACCAGTGTCATGTAAGCTCCTTGAAGAGAACAGCTGCAGGTAATTCACATGGAGAGGATCCCGGGCTCTTTGTCACTGTTGTCTTGTGACTGTCGCTGAAGCCAGGCGTGGGCGTGAAGTCCTCTCTCCCATTAACGCTTCAGCCCTGTGGCCTGTGTGCTTGGCAGCTGTCTGCTCTGTAAACGAAACCAGAAGAAGATGCTCGCGGTTTGGACGCCACCACAGTGGGACCACATGCTGGTGGAGCTACTGGAGCGCAGTAGCTCCGACAAGTTCTGTGCAGCGGGCCAAAAGACACGGAGCTCTGTCGCACGCGGGCTTGTTTATGTTACAGGAGACCAGATAGGAGGTTAAAAGGTCAGAGATTTGTTTTTGTTCTTTAAAGAAAAATAAATAAATAAATAAATAAATAAAATAAATATTTATATATCAATCAAAAGGTGGCAGAAACAAACCTGACAAACTTCAGTTTTTGGCGCGTTACTTTAGTAAATAGTGGAAAGAAAAAAAAGTGGTTAATTGTAACATGTGATTGGGATGCAAAACATGCTTCAAAAACAAAAATAAAATAAATAAGGCACAGTTTCTTCTCTGAATGTCAGTATTAATTGAAAATTAATATTTCAGGAGATCTTAAATGTTAAGTGGGGACGCACTATAGACTATCAAAGCAAAACCTTAAACAGTGCCTACGCTGGTATGAGAAAACTATTAATAGTTCAGGGAAAAAGAAGTCTGACTTCTCTAAAAAGCATAAAAAACAAAACAAAAAAAAAAACCATTGGCATCCTGTTCTGCCTCTTTGGTGAGCTGGTGAACCCTCACAGATTTATTGACGTGAGTTAAAAGGCAAAATATAATTTAGAATAATTTAGATGCTCCCACAAGTAAAATTAATCCTTTTTAGAACAACACGCTCCATAATGATAAATGGACCAGAGTGTGGAGGGGAAAAAGCACGGCAAACCTTTTCCGTTGCACTAGTATTTGAGGTTAAGATTCTTTGGACTGGGCCGGAGAACATTTTTCCACGCAGTCGACTGAAAGTTGCACCCTCAGAAAATGATCATTTGACCCAATAGGCTGATGCCTTAAAACTGTGAATTTTTACATTTTACTCACCACCAGATGGGATAGCCTCCGAGCACCCGTGAGCTGGACAACCACACACACAGCAAATATCCAATCAGATACAAATCCATGAGGTAAGCCTTGTCAAGTGTGTGTAAGTGGATCAATACACAGAACTTGCAATAGGCAGTGAAGAAGAGTTTCCAGGATGAAGAGCTTCTGGAGTAGCTTAATTCTTGAATGAAGGGGGAAATTGAAATATTTGACCAAAAAAAAAAAAAAAAAAAAAAATCTTCCTCCTATTTTTCCCCCTCTCTTTCTCTGAGTCGGGCCAGGAAAGTGTGTCTGTCTCCAAGTAGTTAAGAGAATAAGTGTCTCTTACACTCATGCACACGCTCCTACCCGTCCTCTCCTTCCCTCCCTCTCTCTGAGGTTCTTCCCTAAGGTAGATATCTTTTCCTCTCTCTCCCTACTTTTTTCTCCCTCAGGATGCCTCATCCACAGGCCCAATATTAAAGTGGAGGGCGGGTGGGGTGGAGATCTGGTGGTGTTGGCGGGTGTGGGGTGGGAGGCGGAGGGTGGGGTGGGGGGGATTGTAGGATGAGGTTTGGAGATGTCAGCTGGCAAGCCAATCACAGGAGATGGCCTTAGGTAACGAAAAAAAAATTATTATTCGTTCCCATCTGTCAATCACGCGCCACCCCCTGGTAATGTGGAAGAGAAAGGATAGAGTGCAAAAAGAGAGCGAGAGGGAGGGAGGTGTAGGGAGGGACAACATGAAAAAAAAAAAAGGTAAAGTGGAGTTGTTGCTCAACTTGTTTAATCCATGATCAGAAAAAAAAAATAAAAAATCCCCCGAGAAAGTGGCCGGAGGCAGGTGATGAGGACTTAGGAGGAAGCTTGGCAGTACCTGCTGACACACATGCTGACATTGATTTGTATTTTTTTTTTGTCTTTTTGTTTTGTTTTTCAGAAGCTTGTGCCCTGACTAATTGATCCGGATATGACCGCTGCACTCTCACGCACACATCCCTCTCCTGTGCAGACATACGGGGAATTTTCCAAACTGTTATCCTCCCAACCCGCCTGAAGAAGAGGGCACAAAAGGGGTCCACAATAAAGCCATAAAACAGCAGAGAGGTGGTTGGGCCCGGCACGCAGGGGTTATGTGCTCCAGCGGCCCAAAGGCGACACATTTTACATCAATACTATTGTCATTCTGATGGGCTGTGAGGCGAGCAGCCGTGGGACAGAGTGGGGGGCGATGAGGAGGGAGACAGAGGGTGAAGGAGGAGGGTGGGACACTTGAGATGATCTTAGCCTGAAGAGAACATGCAGGAGATAAACCCACAAGGAAACTGATCAGGCCGAAAGCAAACAAGATACCCAGACGAAGATCAAAGGAAGGCGGTTGTACTGATGAGTTATCTGGATTGTCAAATCACTCTCAATGACTTGCACGCAGTGCCTCAACCGCTGTGGCTTTTTCACAGTTTGTCACGTGACAGCCACAATCTTAAATAAAGTAATTTATTGGGGTTTCACTTGATGCTAATGCAGCATTGTGAAATGATGATCTCAAAGGTTTAGACAAATCATTACGTGAAATGTTGCGTGGCCATGTCTCTGCAACAAAGTATCATCAAACTTGTTCAAGCAAAGAGGCTAAAAGCTCAGACTGAATAAAATACATCTGTGAGCATAAATGTCAAGTCTTTCTTGAACCTCCAGAGATACAGACCTGGCTGTTTTTTGAATCAAACCTTCCCTTTGTAGCTCTGTCTGAATTTCTGTGCTGTTTGTTGTGCTTGAAGCTGAATCTGAGTCTCAAGACTTTAATTTTCCATTCTATATTTTGCACCATCCATCTTTCTATCTGTCGACAAGCTTTCCTCTTCCCATGGAGGAAAATATTCCCAACAGTATGATGCTGTCGCCACAACCACCACACAGTATTAATTGTACTCTGCACCATGTTTTGCATGTTGGTCAAAAAGTTATTTGAACAATTTCTTTTTTTTTTTTTTGCCAGTCTTTTGTAAAATCCAGATGTGTGAAGTGTATGCCTAACAGTACTTGTCCTGTCAACGTATTCCCATATTTGAGCTCTAGATCTCTGCAGTTCCATTGGGCATCTTTGCTCTTTTGCTGAAAAAAAATTGACAGACATTGTGCCAGCCTTTCTAATATCAAATCATACTTGCAACAATTAAATGCAAAATGTTCAAAGCTTTGGATAATGTTTTGTAATCCAGTTCTGCTTTGAACCTCTGAGCAGCTTTATTCCTAACCTGTCTGCTGTGTTCTTCTTCATGATGCTGTTTGCTCTCTAATGTTGTCTAGCAAAACTGACGCCTTCACTGAACAGAGGGATTTATACTCAGAACGAATTACAAAAACATGAACTCCATTACCGACTCGTTCATTTCTGAACAGAATTGATTTCATTACAGTTCGTTCTGGGTGTCAGAATAAAAGGGCTGAATACAAATGCACACTATACTTCTTAGATTTTGATTCCCATCCCAGTTGTACATCACAGCAGATGCATCATTTAAAGTTGAATTGAGACACAGAACGCAGTGCTTTATTGGACTGACTTGACACTTTGAGGCCTTTTGCAGAGTTTACACGGTCCTATTTCCAATTATTTCTTTTTTAAAATTCAATCATCAACTTCAGATAGAAGATTTCATACTGATTAGAGTTTGACCCTAAAAGATTCTACAACCAATCCTTCATATTTCAAATAGCTTTCATTTCTAGCGTTTCACATCCATGAATACAACTGACATATCAAATTCTAGTTATTTTTGCCTTTTTTCACTCAGTGTTTCTTCCACTTTTAAAAGAAAAACTTTTTTTTGTATTAAATCACCAGAGACTGTAGAACTTACTTCTATTAGATTTTAGCCCAGAATTTCTGTCTCAAAGGTGGAAGTTAAAAGGCTTTTAACTACCTTTATTAAACATTGCATACAACAAAATATTTAAACATGTGGACAGCAACAAGATTCTATCATTAAGGGTTCAACATTTTTTTCAATATGCCAGAAGGTTTTAGCACAGTGACTGCTTGTTCAATGAAGTCATCAAAATCTGGATGTAGCTTAGGTTTTGTTGTAACTAATTTGTGATAAAATCAACAAAACTTAAAATTCTGAATGTCAATGCTAACAAAAAGCTGTATTAAAATATCAGAAAATCAATCTCTAAATTCATCAGTCAGCACAGACCATAATTAGTTCAAATCACAGTATGAGTCGCTTGACCATTGGCTTTTTCATAACACCAGGTGGAGTTAACTTTCACTTTGTTGTGGTGCTGGTACCGATTGGATCAGATAGTTTAAAACAGAATTATTTAGTAAAGTTGGTAAAATTATGGCAGCATTAGGAATTTTGAAAAAAGTAATTGAATTTGTGTGGTTGAACTATCTCACCTCACTGACTTTTTTCATAAAAAAGGATGAGGATCATGCATGTCGGAAATCCTTAAAATGATGCAATATATTAAATATTCTCTTCTTTTTGAAGAAATGTTTTGTGTCCAATTTAATCTGCGATGGACTGGCGATTTGTCAAGGGTGTACTCTGCCTCTTGCCCAGTGACCGCTGGAGAGAGGCACCAGTACCCCTCACAAGCCCACTAGGGGAAGAAGGTGTAAGATAATGGATGGACGGATCTAATTTAATTTTTAATTTCAGAAACATCAAGTGATTTACTCAACATAAAACATCAAAGACAAATCTTGTTCTATGAATTAAAATAGATATTAACAAGATATGTTTCTTATGTGGAGAAAAAATTGACTTGCAATGAGTTCAACTTCAGCGAGTCATTAGTTGGAAATTTTGTCCTACCAATGAATTTTAGCAGTGAAATGTTTTCTGTTCATTGCATGTAAACCTCCCAAAATCTTAGCCAGAGCAGAATTGTGAACTCTGATTATTTCCAGGACTTTTCATTCTTAGCCACTTTGCAATGCTGTGTGTTTGGTTTATATGAAAAGATTTTAACTGTTCCGGTGACCCATTTTTTTCTATAATTCTTGGTCTTTGGCTACATTTACTCTGGCAAACTTCAATCTATTGTTCATGGATTTCTTTTGAGAGTAAAGCTTTCCTCCTTGCACACCCACTTGTAAAGCTATACTTGTAGAGTCGCTCTCTGATTGTTCAGACAAGACACTTTTATATCACAGTTACAAAAGTCCGCTGTAACTTTCTAGAATTTTTAGGGACTCATTTTTGCATTTTGCGTTTACTGTAGGGTTGAGTTTGTTTGGGCAGTCAGACCTAGGCATGTAGACAATGTTTTGGATGTACTCCATCTGCTCATTATTTTTCATTCAATTAAATGACTCATGCAAAATTCCTTAAATAAGCCAACCACGCCATTATCACTCAGCAGATACATAAGCTGGCAGCTGGCAGCTTTTTCTCACAGTGATGTTCAGTCTTACTTCAATAAATATAACAAACTATCTGAAGTTTAAAAAAAATAAAATGCTGAATAAATATGTTTATCTGTTTTTTTTCTACTTCTGTGAGCAATTTTAACCATTTTAAGGAGGAACATTTATTTCTAGACAGGTTATCATTAAATATGGTATTTTTTTAAAAACATAATTTTGTAAGTAGTTTCAGCATTTTCTCATGATCAACAAGTTATCATGCAACTTCTCCTTTAGTACTTCAGGAAAACAGCTCAGGTCTCTTAGTTGTGGTGCCAAAGGGCCTCTGATAGCAACCTCTGGAACCCGAGGTACGTGAACGAAGAGTGAAGCTCAGTGGATGGGTGGATGCTTTCCATAGAGTAGATTGTGTGTCTGTTGCAAGGAACGAGCCCAGTGACCATAGCTTAGAAGTCAGTAGTTGGGTCCCTCCCAAACCCCATCAGCCGCCCCTTGGTGTTTCATTTCCCTTCAACAAAGAAGTTTGGGAAATGGGCACTGACTGAGTAGCCTTCAACCTACCGCCTGCTTCTGGAAATGTGGGGGGTAAATTTGGTAGAAACGGATCGACGTCCTGGTGTAACACGTATAAGCTCCCTCTAACTAGCTGAGATGGGAGTATTGTCCTTTATGACCAATCGTTTTTCACCCGCTCAAGTCAACATGTGGTATTGTCAATGCGGTGCTGACAATGAGGCATGTCTGTTTGTAATTATGAATGCTGTTGTGTGTTACAGCATCGTCAGAAATGTGCAGAGCTCAGCTTTGGATGACAGCTGCTGTTTGGGAGCGACAGACAGTGATTTTAGGGCCAAGTGTAGGTTAGGAGAATGTCAGTGGTCTTATTTATGAGTACAGGCGAAGGAATCAGTCTGCGGTCTGAATCCGAACAACATTGAGACCACATTTCCCAGGTCGAGGCTGCAAGTGCAACACAAAAAATGCCTGGAAAGGCAGCAGCGACTGAGCTCCATGTCGCTGGAAATGAACAGCACTTGTGGTGCGGTTTTTTAGAAATATCTGCAAAAGAAGACCAGAGTCTGTGAGAAGGGGGGAGGCAAACACTGGGGTCCCCTACCGTGCTGGTTTCTAGGGTGACCTGAGAAAGGCCATAACCAGGTCCGGCTCTTTCTTAGGCCTAATCAGCGTATTACCACAAAGAAGGACATGTGTTAAGCCCCCCACCTCTCTACCAATCCTACTCAATCCGAATAGCATGGCTGGACACAGGCAGCCAATAAAACCAGGATTAGGAGGGTATTTAAACATACTGAGGCTGTTGCGAGAAGTTTCTGAACATACCCAATCCCGCCCTTTTCATCAGTTCCCTCTGTCTGTCTTTCTTTCCATCTTTCACTATATTTTACTCTTTTCCTTCCTCTTTTCAGTGCTCTCATCGTGTAAGCTCCTCACACAAAGGAGCATCCAGGAATTACTCATTTTGTTGGAGTAGCTCAGCAAATTCCCAGTACCTCTCGTCCACCTCCCTCCTTTATGCTTCGGATCCTGTGCTTTGTACGTTTGTGATAAAGAATTGTGCTAAATCTCAATGACAATTTTGTGAGAGTTTGACTAAGTTTGAGGAAGAGGCCTACTTGTCTATGGATTTTAGAGTGGATTCAGCCATGAGCCAGAGTCATGGTTGATTCATGTTGCTTCCATCTGTTGAGCAATTCTCTGTAATTAACTGCTGATGACAGTAAGTGAAGGCCAATCTGATGATGCGTTCTGTCTGTAGGATGTAAATTGTGTTTATTGTTGTGACTGTATTGAGATTTGGAAGTGATACGCCACTGCAGTTTGGAGATCCATCTCCTGGAAATGGAACACTGTTAAAGATAACACAAATGCCTTTGTCTGGACTTTTTAGGACAGATGACAAGAGTTCAGCCCCCAAATAAATCTTTTTCATTAGAGCAGCAAACACTCCATCTCTCCATAGTTTGAGTCGCCGTGTGAGCCGCTCGGTATAATGCCCAAACCAGCAGCGGTCTTCGGCCGGACACTGGGGCTGCCTAATTAAAGGGCACTTAAGCTCTACAATGTGTGGCCCTGCAAGCTGGAGTTGGTGGGGGTCCCTCCCCTCACCCGACGGGGACTCATAAACAAGGGAGTCCCGGACAGAGTGAGATAAGAGGGCTATGTGCCAGGGACTTTGTTCACACAAGATGAAGAGTCAACAGCCTCCCCATCTCTCAGCCCTCTTTTAGCCATCCCCCCTAATAACCAGCTTCTTCAGAGAAACTGTGAACACAATGCCATCCCATTCCCCTCCTCTTGCTCTCAATCACCAAGGGGACAATGAGGGGACCCCCCGCCACCTCATCTTCACCATCCTTCTGCCCCTCCCCTACCCCCAAACAGACACTTCTTTTATTGAAATTCTTTGGTGTTCTAATCCTCAGCTTCCTCCGGGGCCAATAATGGACTCCCTGCATCAGCCTTTTCCAGCGAGGCTATCATCTTAGCCCGTCTGGGTCACAAGTCCAGCCCTACTGGAGAGAAATCCCCTCCAAGTGTCATTTCTGTCACAAACGGTGTAGAAATCCCCAGCACCATTGACTGACATATCAAACAAAACAAAACAACAAAAAAAAAACAGCCAAATAGTTAATTTAGGTGAACTTTCTTCTAGCATTGCGTGGTTACAATTTTAATTGGATACTTCACACTTTTGTGCACTGCCTTCAGTAAACCATATTGAAATGTACTTAAATTTTCTTTTTTTGTAAGTTTCTAAAAAATTTTTTCTTTCCTCAGTATTGTTACTACTGTGTATTTTAACTATTTAGATTGAAATATCAAACAAAATATATGGTACTAAAGAAAATCTGTTTTATTTTGGACATAATGCTCAAAATATATATTTTATTTTTTCATGACTGTTAAAACATACATTCAATTTAAACACACAAGGCATATAAGATAATAACTAAGTTTATCAAATTATAAAATGAGAAAAAAAGAAGCTATTTTTACAATAGTTTCTTCCAACAAGCAAGAATTACAGAGAAACAATTGCAGTGAGGAAAAACAGGCAGGGATGAAGATCATGATCTGATCTGTGGGTTATTGGTGACATCTGCTGGTCTCCTGCAGTCAGAGTCCTGTGATAGTGATGGCAAAGAAAATCTGAAGTCATTTTGGATATCAAGAGTGAAAAATACTGCTGGAATGAAATGTTTCTGATATTTACATACAGTTACAGCTTTACAGGCTTGAGCCCGACAGATTATATACAGTAAAGTCCAAACTGGTCAAAATGCTTTTCATCTAAGAACACTTAGTAGACTGCAGATTTGATCAAATAATAATCAGGTGGCAGCAGCAGGGGCAAAAATGTTTCTTTACACAGTCCTTATCCATCTGAGCATAATTTGATTTGATAGATAACAACAGTATAAAATCTTTTCAAGTCAATAAAAAAACGTTATCAATACACAAATTAAATGTTGTAGCTTATGCTGTAACATTTTCTTAAAAGAGTTGTTGTAGACGCTGAGGGCTGTGTTAAGTTAATGCTTCCTGCAGCAGTCTGTATTACAGCATCTTTGAAGAAGCCTCTGAAAGAAGACACTGCTGTTATTGTGTGTTTTTGCACAGATTAGGTCAGATTTATAAATTTTGTATCTTGATTACAGAAAATCGAAGAAATGAGAACAAGTGAACTTTATTTTTTTTTTTAAATAACTGCAAATTGTATGTAACTCTACATTTTTCTATTTCAAATCTCTATACAGTTTTGCTTAAGAGAAATTAGTTGTTAAATGTTTAAGTCTTATTTGAAGCAGAGTTGTTTAGTTGTTCCACCAGCATTTTAGAACAATAGTTGCAAGTGAAAATTCTGTCTTTTAGGCAAATAGCCTAAAAGTATCAAATGCATCAACAAGACTCACTAGTTGTTGAATGTTATTCTCCTCTTCATGTGTATTTTAACATCTCCAACATTTTTTCCTTGTTCCATTGCCAATAATGACTTCATACCACTGTCATCTGGGGCTCTCATTTACCAGAGCTCTAAGTTTACATAGCTTACCCATCTAATACACCTGAGGCGGTGTGAACATAAGAGATGGTTCTCTGTGAGCCAGTCAAACCTGTTTGATGCCACTCAACTCAGGGGTACTATTAGAAACAATAGGGCTCATGTAACATTGCATGCAAGCAGAACATAGCTTAGCATTTAGGCCTCAGGCTCCTGTGGGCCTAAATTAGCATTTTGACTTATATTGTTCTTTGATTTTGGGACCAGAGGACCAAGCCTGACAGTCTTTTTTCTTTTTTTCTACCTCCAGCAAGGTCCTCTCTCACATTAACTATAAGGAGTAAAGGTCGACTTACTCCAACAAAGCACTAATCAAAAATTCAGTTCCCTGATAAATATTGTCATCATAACTTAGTTCACTCAGTATTTTGTTAAATTTGCTTAGAAGGTATGGTCTGAGACAAAACGTGATACTTTGTACCTGTTACAATGGGTGGATTGTGGTAAGTAAACAAAGTTTTTATAAAATATGAAATGCAATCTTTAATAATCTGAGATTCAGCTTTAAAAATGTTTTGAGAATCTTGCAGCTGTTATTTTAAATTTAAAGGGGAATGGAAACTTCTTCAATGCACACCTCATCAACATGTTGAAATGGACATTTAGAAAAAAAGACATCATATGATATACATTTTTAGTTGCGTTTGTTATTTGTTGATATTTGGTCACACTCAGTCATCTGTTTCTCTTAGATATTGTAAAAAAAAAAAAAAGGCTACTTACCAATCCACCCAACAGCCTTTCCCCACCATGAACCTCTTCCTCACAGCTCCACCAGACTAGCGGCAGCAGCTATTGGGAAGCACCCGGTGGAACCTCTGCGGAGTTTGTCATACAAACCACAGCACACTTAAGAACAGTTGTGAATGGCATCAATGCACAGCATGGAAAAGCCTTGTTGATGAAAGGGGAGCGTTGGAAAGGTTAGGAGGACCGTAAAGAGACAGAGGCCAGTTTCAAGGCACCAGATATTTAACCATCCACCCATTTATGTATTTGTATTTGCCATTCATCTATTCATCTCTGTAGAAATATTACTTTTAAACTAAAAGTTTGACAATGGAAACGTGAGGCATTTGGGGTTAAAACTGTGTGAATGAAGGAACACTACATCCATGTGTTGTATAATGTAATACTAGAGCTGCAGCTCTCAAGTAGGTCGAAAACTAGAGTTGAAAAAAAATGTATATATATATAATATATATATAATATATATAATATATATATATATATATATATATAATATATATAATATATATAATATATATAATATATATATATATATAAAAATAAAAAAAATTCCCTTCTCACCCACCGCGGGTGGTTCTTATCCTCTGAGCTCGGGTCCTCTACCAGAGGCCTGGGAGCTTGAGGGTTCTGCGCAGTATCTTGGCTGTGCCAAGGACTGCACATTTCTGGACTGAGATGTCTGATGTTGTTCCTGGGATCTGTTGTAGCCACTGCTCCAGTTTGGGGGTTACTGCCCCGAGGGCCCCGATGACCACAGGCACCACTGTGGTCTTCACTTTCCAGGCCCTCTCCAGTTCCTCCCTGAGGCCCTGGTATTTCTCCAGTTTCTCGTGCTCCTTTGTCCTGATGTTGCAATCACTTGGTATTGCTACATCTACCACAACGGCTTTCCTCTGATGTTTATCCACTACGACAATGTCTGGTTGGTTCGCCATTACCATTTTGTCTGTCTGGATCTGGAAGTCCCACAGGATCTTAGCTCTGGCGTTCTCCACCACCTTTGGGGGTGTTTCCCACTTTGATCTTGGGGTTTCCAGTCCATATTCTGCACAGATGTTTCTGTACACTATGCCTGCCACTTGGTTATGTCGTTCCATGTACGCTTTCCCTGCCAGTATCTTGCACCCTGCTGTGATGTGCTGGACTGTCTCAGGGGCCTCCTTGCACAACCTACACCTTGGGTTGTCTGGTGTGGTAGATCTGGGCCTCTATTGCTCTGGTGTTTAGGGCCTGTTCCTGGGCTGCCAGGATGAGGGCCTCTGTGCTGTCCTTGAGTCCAGCTTTTTCCAGCCATTGGTAGGATTTACTGATATCAGCCACTTGGGTTATTTGCTGGTGGTACATCCCATGTAGGGGTTTGTCCTCCCATGATGGTATCTCTGGCACCTCAACCTCCGTTCCCTGTTGTCTGAGACATTCACTGAGCACATTGTCTGTTGAGGCTTTGTCCCTGATGTATTTATGGATCTTAGTTGTTTTCGTCCTGGACAGTGGTTCTCACACTCACTAGTCCTCTGCCTCCTTCCTTGCGGCTCGTGTACAGTCTCAGGGTGCTGGATTTGGGATGGAACCCTCCATGCATGGTTAGTAGCTTTCTGGTCTTAATATCTGTGGCTTTTATCTCCTCCTTTGGCCAGCTAATTATTCCAGCAGGGTATCTGATTACTGGCAAGGCATAGCTGTTTATCGCACGGATTTTGTTCTTGCCTTATTCGTTGGAGGTATTTAGCTGTGGCTCCTTTCCTTGTGACCTCATCGAGGTTGCCATTTGCTTGTGGTATACCTAGGTACTTGTAACTGTCCTCTATGTCTGCTATTGTTCCTTCTGGGAGTGAGACCCCTTCTGTGTGGATGACCTTCCTCCTCTTTGTGACCAGCCGACCACATTTCTCTAGTCCGAATGACATCCCAATGTCAGTGCTGTAGATCCTGGTGGTGTGGATCAGTGAGTCGATGTCTCGCTCACACTTGGCGTACAGCTTGATGTCATCCATGTAGAGTAGGTGACTGATATTGGCCCCATTTTTGAGTCTGTATCCGTATCCAGTCTTGTTGATAACTTGGCTGAGGGGGTTCAGGCCTATGCAGAACAGTAGCGGGACAGAGCATCTCCTTGGTATATGCCACATTTGATGGACACTTGTGCAAGTGGTTTGCAGTTGGCTTCAAGGGTGGTTTTCCACAGCCTCATCGAGTTTGCAATGAAGGCTCTCAGAGTCCTGTTGATGTTATACATCTCTAAGCATTCAATGATCCAAGTATGCGGCATTGAGTCATAGGCTTTCTTGTAATCAATCCAAGCCATGCACAGGTTGGTGTGTCGGGTTTTGCAGTCTCGGGCAACTGTGCGGTCTACGAGGAGTTGGTGTTTGGCTCCTCTGCTATTTACACCGATACCCTTCTGTGCCGTGCTCATGTGTTTATCCATGTGTTTGCTTATCTTGGCCGCTATGATGCCTGACATGAGCTTCCAGGTTGTGGAGAGGCAGGTTATTGGTCGGTAGTTGGGTGGGACTGGACCCTTTGATGGATCCTTCTGGATTAGGATTGTCCGCCCTTCAGTTAACCATTCAGGGTGAGTCCCACTTTGTAGCAGCTGGTTCATTTGGGCTGCCATTCGCTCATGGAGAGCAGTGAGTTTCTTTAGCCAGTAGGCATGGATCATGTCAGGCCCTGGTGCTGTCCAGTTTTTCATACCTGAGACTCTTTCTTGGACATCTGTCACAGTGATGGTTACCGGGGCTTGCTCAGGGAGGTTGCTGTGGTCCTCTCGTAGAGAGATCAGCCACTGTGCATTGCTGTTGTGGGACGCCTCCCTTTCCCATATGCCTTTCCAGTATTGTTCCGTCTCCAGCCTTGGTGGGTCTGCTCTGTTGTTATTGTTACCCTGCCATTGAGAGTACACCTTAGCTGGTTGAGTGGAGAAGAGCCGGTTAATCCTTCTGGATTCATTCTCCCTTGTGTATCTCTTTAGGCGGCTGGACAAGGCTTGGAGCCTCTGTTTGGCAGTCTCGAGTGCTTCAGGTATGGGCATCTGCCTGTACTTTCTGGGTACTGGTCTTTTCATTGCACCCTTGTGGAGCTCTGACAGTTGGCTCACTTCCCTCCTTGTTACCTTGATTTTAGCCTCTAACCGTCTTTTCCATGGTGGGTATTGGGTCTCATGGTTGCTCTTATAGCCAAGTATCTCAAGGATCACTGATGCTGAGTTGTAGATCAGCTCATTGGTTTCTGTTATGGTGTTGGTAGGGATCGTTCTCAATGCTGCATTCACATTCTCAATGAGACTTTCAGATGGTACTTCACTCAGCCGTTGTAATTGGCGCCGGGGAGGGCCTGGTTGTCATTCGGGTCATGATTCTCTCTCAGGTCAGCAGCTGTCTCGTTCAGCTCTGTATCCCCTCACTGGGTGGGGACTTGTAGTTAAGTCCCCACAGTCCTGACATCCGGGTTCCTCCCTTTTGCCGTAGCATTTGTGTTGTATCTCGTCAATCTCAAGTTGTGATAGCAGTTGCCGTTTGCGGATGTTGGAACACTGAGCTACTAGTTGTTTAGCGCTTTTAGTGTTGACTGGGGATGTCGAAGTAACCATTCCTTCCCCAGTCTTTGCATGTAACCTCTCTCACTAGGGTTACTTGAGTAGTAGCATTCCAACAGATCCACATTTTCATCTCTCGCCCATTTCCGTCTTGTTCCGTAGCCCATTTGTCATCAAGGTGCTCTGGTTCCCCAACACCTGACGCAGACCTTGTTTGGCCGGGCGACGTCTGAGCCGGCATGTTATGCAACTTAGTATCTCTCATGGTATTGAGGTAGGCAGTAGCTTGAAGGGTCTTGCCTAAGGACCCAGACTGGATTCGAACCCTGCCCTCGGTGATATACTGATGCCTTATGTATTGAGCTATCCAGTCAGCTAAATATATATATAAATATAATAATATATATATAAATATAATAATATATATATATATATATATATATATATATATATATATATATATAATATATATATATATATATATATATATATATATATATATATATATATATATATATATATATGTATGTATGTATAATTAAATTTAGGAAGCTCAGAAATTGTTGGTTTTTAAACACACACACAAAAAAATCACAAACTTCTGTACATAAAATAATAATATAATTTGTGCGCCCTTAATCCCACCTCTCTTGGATTACGTGAAGGGGGCGTCGTCCACGACGGCTCACCGTCCCAAACGCTCATTGCTCGACTCCCCCCCACGTGACACAGGCCAACCAACCCCTGAAAAATGCGCTGAGCGGAGCCTCGGCGGAGACATGCGTCCGTGAGAGTGAATGTATCAGCGACCGGCTCTTTGTGGACTGTGCCGTGTTGTCACCGGCTGGCGTTGTGGAGGGACGGTGTGGACGCGGAGCATCGCTGACCTGCGCCTCTCCGAGCGGGCGGTTCCCCTCTGAGCGGCCGCGTGGAGCTGAGGGAGAGCAAGGAAAGGGACAGATGGAGGCACCCGGACCTCTCCCGGTTACATAACCGAGTTAAAGATCACACAGAACCAGATAACGGACTGTTTCCCCCGGACAGGTCGGAGTTCAACCACTTTCTCCAACCCGGTAAGTGGAAACTCGCTGAACCGCAGAGAAATCGGCTCATCTTCCCTGCAGCCCAGTTGTTGGAGGACATTCAGTCTGAGGTGATTCGGTTTGCAGGTAAGTACGTTTGAAAGCATGAAAGCTGACGGCAGTGGGTCGTTTTTCCTCCCCCTCAGGACTTTATCATCTCTAAAGGTTACTTTTTGAAATAACAACCCAAAACTTTGACACGTGTTACTTCTTGCTTGTTTCTCCGACGCCGACAAATGTTATTGTGGTCTGGCAGACCTATTTTATTAATTTTTTTGTACTGTAAACATCTTCAGGCCTCTTGAACTTTTTCCACATTGTGCCACAATTCAATTTACGTGTATTTGATTGAATGAAAGTAATCTGCACACCACTGTCTATATAACTCAACTCATTCCTTAATCCCAGACACTGACCAGCTGTTACGTCTCCAGTGAAAAAATGATCCCCATGCATGACGGTGCCGTCACTGTGCTTCGTAGCGGAGATGGTGTGTTCAGATTGGGATACAGTGTTAGTTTTTGCGATAGTTGAATGTTGATTTTGAAAGCTTCGTTTTGTGACTCAACTCAACTGTGAGCTTCTCTATTTCCTCCCTGACCTGTCCATGATCTTAGCGATGCTCTTTCTCTGAAAACAAAAACTGCTGAGGCCTTTTAGGCGGCAGCTGGATTTCTACAAATCACACCTAGTTATTTATGAATTAGGCGTTACTTCGGAAGGCAACAAATCAGGTTACTTTTAGGAGTATTGGGTAAAGGAAGCTGAATACAAATACATGTCACACTTTTCAAACTTTGATATTATTCATTTCACTAATTTAGTCAACTTCATAACTATCCACTACTTTATCATGAATAGCTCGGATAGAATCCATGACAGTTGTAGGTTTAATGTTTTCCCTTGAAGTCAGAGTTTGTAATCTATTTTATTAGACGGGTCAGTCAAAATGTTCTACAAAACAGATATCAATTAAGTGATTCAGCTAGACTTTCAAATGACACCAGCATTTTACATGTTAACAAAAAACAAAAAATGAAACGCATGGAGTAACTGGTGCTTATAAGACAATGAACTAAAATGGAATAAATTAAGATGACTGCTCAAAATATGTATAAGATCATAAGTATCCCAAAGTACTGATGTCTAGGTAAACTGTAAGTAAATTTCCGACTGACCTAAGTTCAGGGTTCCAACCAAATGCAAATGTGGAGACGGATTGTTTCACAGCCCCAGGCTATGACCAGATGACCCTGTTCTCCTTTACTTCTCTGTCTTATGCCTGGAGTGACTGATAAATCTTACATTTACAAAAAATTGAATGTTCAGACAGAATATTAACTAGTGATGCTCTGCTGTCCATGCATTCACTGCTTCAATGATGGTCTTCAATAAAGTCTTGTGTGAAACTTAATTTATTTTATTAATTCAAAAAGTGGAACCTGTTTGCTCATTTCAAGAGTTTTTTTTTTTTAAGTTTTTAGTTTAGGTGGCTTCAATTAACAGGTAAAACACAATAAATAATTTTCTTGTCCTTGACCAACAAATCAAAAGAAAAACAGTTTTAAATGTGATATATGTCCTGATCATGAGTTAAACTCAAAAAAGTTCTGTCTCCAGAAATTTAACCCAAAATTGCCAGAATTTCATTTTCTTTTCTTTGGTTATTCATTTAAACCAAATGTTTTGTAATGCATGTTTTACATAGGGCTGTGCAGTATATCGCAAATCTTTTTTCATTGCAATAAAAGGGGCATAATAATTAATATTGCATGAAGTACTGGGAATAAAATCATCACTAATTAACATATTTTAAATGCCGTGAGTTCATGCTTTATTCATCAATTCACCCTGTTGGACAGAGTTTCCCTGCAGCTCTATAGGAAGAAAAAAATAAGATGTCTAATGAGACGCTGGGTCTATCAACAAGGATTGTAAAATAATTACCTTCTGCAACAAAGAAAAAGTCACAGTCGTGAACATTCTGACTTTTGTTGATATTGTATCAAATAATTCCAGCGACATCAGTGCACGCCACCATGAACGTTGGCACGGCGCACAGCGAGGTGAACCCTAACACCCGGGTGATGAACAGCAGGGGCATCTGGCTGTCTTACATCCTGGGCATCGGCTTGCTGCACATCATCCTGCTCAGCATCCCCTTCGTCAGCGTCCCGGTCGTCTGGACCCTCACCAACCTCATCCACAATCTGGTGAGGGGAATTTGCGCAGGCTTTACTTCCATCCAATGGCTTTGACATTTTGTGAGTGAGATGGGTCAGCGAAGGATCGATGCAGAACAGCTGTGATTTTTTTTTTCTGAAAGTGTTTGATTGGTGGTTCAAATTAAGACAGTGGTTACAATGAACATTGCACGTCCAGAGGTGGTGTTCTCACCTCTCACAAACTGGTGTTTAAGTTTAAACTTTCAGAAAAAGCCAAATGTCCCAGTTTTCTCCTATTAATGTCTCTGATTTGCTGGTTGTTGTGCGTTCGTTGCAGTGCATGTATCTCCTGCTTCACACGGTCAAAGGGACTCCCTTTGAGACCCCGGATCAGGGCAAGGCTCGCCTCCTGACCCACTGGGAGCAGATGGACTACGGCGTACAGTTCACCGCTTCACGAAAGTTCCTCACAATCACGCCGATTGTGCTGTAAGTGACCTCCCTGTGCTCCGCTCATCGCTGCGATTCCCTTGTTCCGTTTTCTTTCTTCTGCTCTCTGTTACCTTTACTCTTGTGAAATGGGCCAGTAGATTATGATGTTTACTCTCCACATCCACAAACTGACAGAGGACTTGGGTTTTCCGCAGGTGCACCCATAAGTGCTTTCCTGGCTTTTTCTTCCCTCGTGATCATGAGAGTTCAGTTTACAGGAGGCACTTTGGTTTCCTGGGTCGGATTTGCAGCCTCAGCGAGAATACTGTAATGAGAGCAGCTCTGCAGGTGTACACTGTGCTTCTGTACACATTTGTCGTCTCGTTTTGCAGCCAGTGCCAACAGGAAGTAGTTTGTCAGCGCGGGAACAAGACAGCAGTGCAGGATGTCGTACGTCTTTAGAGGCCTTAAATGTGTTGCTGTTCCCAAGATAACAGCTCAGAGCATTTTCAATTCTCACTAAGTGTTGCCTGGTTAATTAAAAAGAAAATTATGCTATAAATGAAATCACGAGTAAGGTATAGAAATTTACTTTGTGTCGTTAAAATGTCACATCGAGTAACAAGATGACGAAGAAAAGCTGCTTGGTCGGTACTAAGTGTCCTGTGGCAGATGGAGCCACGTTATAGTTTGCGAAAACCTGTATCAGAAAAGACCAAAACTGCAAAAATATGAAAGCGCAAAGGGACAAAATGACCTGCACCCATCAGGTTTGTTTCTGCGTATTTTGAGGAGACTACTTCCGTTATGTTTTCACAATTTATTATTTACAAATGTAGCTGTGGGCAGGATATGGATATAAATACAGTGGATCAAAATGTGGCTGATACAAATTGTCACCTGTTTTATCTTGGTGATAGTCATACATTGCTTTGCATTGTTTTTTGAACTGGCCATGAAGCACTTGAAAGCTGCTTTTAATGTCTTTCAGGATAACGTACTGAAACTGAAGCTTGTTCTGAATGTGTTTAAGGCGAAGCTTCTGGTTTTAAACATCTCTAAAATTAGACCACATATATTCTTGCTCTGGTTACCCTGGATGGCAGGGACATAGAGATGATCAGTTCCTATAAATAGATAATTTATGGGAATAATAAAATTTAAAAAATGTAATAATTATTTAAATATTTATTTAATCTGTATTTATAGTACAGTTTAAATCCTTGAGTCCTTGAGTTCCAATAATTAGCTGCTCCAAATGTCTGCTCCAAACCTGGAAGAAAGGCGTTTGCCTTCTAGGTCTTGCAACGTGGAACACTCTGCAAAATGTCTTGTATCGTTTAATAGTTTAAGTTTGCTTGGGAAGTTTAAAGCTAGACCGACACATTGATGGCTTTGGACGTGGCTTCTTTAAATTGTCAGCCTTTAATTCTGTCTGATGTGACGTTTACAAACTGCGTCCATTGTTTTCCCTAGCTATTAGCTTGCTGCTTAGTTAGCTCAGCTTCACACACACAGCCACCTGAACTGCTGGTTCTTTGGAAGCTCTGACTAACAAAGAAAATCCCCTTCTATCATTACATGTGGTAATTTAACACTTGCACATCCATACTGAACTGTAATATTGCTTTTACTATTATTTGTTAATTGGTCTTGGAGTTATTTCTCAATATTTTGTTTTGTTTTATGATCGTGATTCATTAGTTGGTTGATTTGATCAGTTTGCTTGATTTTCATTTTTGTCTTTTCAGAGAAAATGCTCTATAAAAATCACCACATCAGGCTGCTGTTGTGAGAACAGAAAGACTGAATGTTGGTTGTGTAATAATATCTGATATTCAATTCAAAAATACTTTATTGATCCCAAAGATAAAGTTAAAGTTGTTGTAACTCATTAATTGAAGTGGTTCCCTGACTTATTATTTGAACTAAGATAAATTTTATCTTTATTATTAGTTTTGTTAAAAATGTCACCCATAAAACAGACTGTTTCTATTGTTTTTTTGCAGAGCTGGCCAACACTTCAGCTTTTAAGCACAGGAAAGGGTCAACTTCTACCAAAGACAAAACATAAATCTGTGATGTTGAACATGTTTCTTGACGACTCCTTGAACTCAGATTCTCCATCTCCTTTCTCCGTTTCTCTTTTTGCTTCAGGTATATATTAACCAGCTTCTACACAAAGTATGACAGAGTCCATTTTGTGGTCAACACCGTGTCCTTGCTCACAGTGCTCATTCCCAAACTGCCGCAGCTGCACGGCGTTCGGATCTTTGGGATTAACAAGTACTGACAGGATGGAAGAAGAAGAGATGGAGGTTTACGGTCCCCCCTGGACCGCTCGGAGCACACAGTGTAATGGGCCTCTGATGAGGACCTCTCACACCTTATTCTATTGAGGAGCTCCATATAGGAAACCTGCGGAGGATGCTGCCATGGTTCCGAATCAACAAGACTCCGAGGAGAAAGCACAAGCGGACCGCGTCAGCTTTGCACCAAACTGTGGCTCATCCACATGGTTTACAAACATTTTAAAACAGATGAAGATGAATCTCTGACATTTCTGAAGACAAAGCACAAAAACTGTGCTGTTTCACTCCTCTGGCACTAAGAGGCAGTTTTTAAAGTTAATTTTTGTTTAATGATATACTACTGTATTTATTCAGCCTCGCTCAAGGCTGCAGCTTCGTCTATTTTGAGGTTTGCGGCTTCAGTTGAGAGCAACAATTCTACACAGACGTGGTGAGGAACTGGCAGACTGCTGGAGAGGCGAGACACTAGAAACCACCTAGTTATATTTGGCTCCCTTCTGCTCTGCTCTGGTCTGCGCGGGGTCAAGACCGGGAAGTTGAGCAACTCTTATTTTTATCTGCCCGTTTCCATATTTGGAAAGTGCTTGTCCCGGTTTGTCCTGTATGCAAAGTCCTCTGGCACAGAACGCATGAGCCGTCTGGTACAGACCAGCAGACCCACTGTCTCAGTTAAGAGATAAGATTTTATTGAAACACCAACAAGGGTACATATTTACATGATTGAGGTACTTGCTTCAGCTTGCCCCTGTTGGCAGATCAGTCGAATGTAATCCAATTACAAAATACCACATATTATTCTAGATGTTATTTTCTTATTTACTTAAGAGATGCACAGATTAAAATTCCTCAGAATTATGACATTAGGTTGTCTCATCTGCTTAACATCTGTGTGTCTTGTGCAAAAAGAATTAGCAGTGGATCCTTTATGCTGAAGGACTTTGTTTGGAGTGGAGATAGGAGGTTTATTCCCTACTTCAAGAACAATTTGAAAGAAAAATAATAGAAACAGTTTTATGCAACAAAAACATTAGGCTCATATGTTCTCTTATGACCATAATTTGATAGTCTGAAGGCATGGCGTTACCTATGACAACACATTTGGTTGTCTCCGCTCCATTCCCCAGCTGTGGTCAGTTGTGGATTGTAATATTTTGTTGGGCCAAACAACCATAGAAAAATACTGTAGCTGAAGTCGCATGGCTTTGTTATTTCAATTTTTTTAATTTATATTAATGTAAAAGAAGCAGCTGTTGATGACTTAATTGCAAATACAGTGTTGGGAAATGGCTGCTGGCGTCCCACAGTAAAATGTGTTATATAGCGAGCTGCTCTGGATCTTTTGAGAATATTGGTTGTTTTCATTGAAAACAATTTGTTGTGTAACATTTCTGAAAAAAAAAAAGTCTGTGAGGTTGTTCATTAGTAACTGCAACTTCAATCATTTTAAGCAGATTAACAATCAATTTCTGAAGTTTTGATTGTCAAAAAATGAGCATCAAGCACATTGAAACCAACTCTTCAATCTTGTGACGATGTAAAGTTTTTCACATGGCTGTTGAGTTGTAGGCACAAAATGAGTTTTTAATATTTTAGGATATGTGAATAATGATTTCATTTGTTCTTTGAATTGTTAAAACACTTGGACATTATAGATCTACAGAGAGTTGAAAATAGGGTAGAATAAAGATGATTTGCTTTTTTTAGGACTCACGCTGAACCCCTTACAGAGAGTATTGACCAGTCTCCAGTCTTGTTCAGAGGTTAATTTGAATCTCAGAGTTATGTCTCCCAGTGGCCTGCTTGGACTGGGCAGAGTGTTTGGTTCTTATAGTCCTGAGCCAAATTAAGAATGAAAAATGAACCTAATAAAAGTAGAAATTACCCTGCTCTTTGTGAATTGATTTCTTTGCAGTGGAAGATTTATCTACTTTCATAATTGATTTTCTTATTTTTTCACGACAGCTGTAAAGAAAATTGTTTGCACTCCTTGTCAACTCTGCGAGGATGCATCCAATCAAAAATTAATCCGTGGTCTTTATTTCAGGCTCGTAAACGGATACATGTACCGTACAGTGGTCCTTATGTTAGACAACACCACGGGGTTTTTAAACATTCATTAAGTGAAAGCAACAAGAGTGAAACAAAGAGGATTTATTGTGACTTGGGTTAACGGTTCTAAAAATCAAGATTTGATATCCTAATAAAAGTCTTTCCTGGATTTAAAGATACTCTTCTTCTTGGTTATATTCTTTCTTTCATTTATTTTTAAATATATATATATATATATTTATATTTTTCTATATATATATATATATATATATATATATTTATATTTTTCTATATATATATATATATATATATATATATATATATTTATATTTTTCTATATATATATATATATATATATATATATATATATATATATATATATATATATATATATATATATATATATATAAAAGAAACTGTTGGAATTTACCTGATTGGGTTGGTTGTTGATAGTTTTTGCAGTTCTTGATACAAACACTGCTGAGGGCTGCAGTAAGAAACTTTGATAAAAATGTTTTTTTTTTTTACATATTTTTTAAAACTGCCACTATGTCATAACAGTATGGTAGGAGGCAATTGTAAAAAAATAAATAAATAAAATTAACTTCTCTGCCTCCTCCTGGTAGTCCTACTGACATCTGCGGAAAAAGACTAAACACATTGCACCATTGCAGTCAGTAACTCAGCACTTTGTCTGGTTCTTTCTTTATGTTGCTTGTTCTTCCTTCTCACATTAGGCCATCATGAAAGTTCTCAGTTCTAACAGAGATAGTATGACCGTGTGAAGGCTGCAGAGGTTTGTTAAGGAGCATGAATGAACAAACAGCATCATGAAAACAAACACAGCAGACAGGACTGGGATGAAGATGGCTGTGGGATAAAATCCGTTTCCCGTTGATGACCTATGTGAGGACTGAAAAGTTGATTTTTACTAAAGCTGTAATTCAGTCCCACTGAACTTCAGTTATTTGCAAAGAATCTGCAAACGAAGTCTCGAGATGTGCAAAGCTCATGCAAAGACCAACTTCTAAATTCGGATGTTTTGTTGTTAATGTTTGTCTCTAAATAAATGTGGGACTTATATAATATATTTATCATTCAACAACAGAAAAGATTGATCTTTAAAGATGGCAGAATTTTTTTTTGTGTGTGTCTTTTGTTGTGGAAGCAACATTCAAGCTGATTTTATTCAGGACTGATATTAAAAATCTAAAATGTGCTTCTCCACCAGAGAGCAGCAAAGAGCTATTATTGACTTATTTGAAAGAACCTTGAGCCAAAACCCAGAGTGTGTGTGGAGTGACTCCCGTTTCTGATCATTAATTTGTTATTACAGTGATTCATATGCTCTAGAATACATTTGAAGAGTCTCAGATAGTGGTCATTTAAATCCTTAATGAATACACAAAAATAAAAATAGTGAAGTTATAAGCGAAAGGAGACAAAAAATGTTTTTATTTATTGTAAATAAATGCTTTGTTATTAGTGCCCATAGATTATATATGCAATGTATAATTCATTTATAAAATTTTTTAACATTTTCTTTATTTGCTTTTGTTGTTGTGTTAGACTGTAGCCCAAAGAGCAATCAGATCAGATCTTTAAAAGTTCATAATAAGCACACACACCTACACACCTCTACACACACATGCACACACACCCAAAAGATTAATTGAAAGGGTGATTATGGTAACATTTTTACTTTCACCCAGGAAATTATAAAGGTGATAATTGTTTATGATTAAGTTTTTCTAACTCATTTTCTGTTGGATTATGTTTTGTAGTGAGAGCTAAAGATGAGTCTACCATCTCAGCCATAGCAATTGGTAGCCATATAGCCATAGGTAGCAACCAATGAGAACGTCTAACACTTTTGGAGTACAGGTTCTACAAATAATGCATGAACTTCTCCGATTTGACATGAGTTTTTCTTCCCTCAGCTTTGCCTGCCATGTGCATTAGGTTCTGCAAATGAACCAGAACAAGGTTTCTATTTCACCTTGTTGTTTTATTACATATGTTCAATAAATAAAAGATGATCTTGTTTTTCTGCTGCATATAAACAAGTTCAAATGAGCTCAGTCTTTACAAACATGCCATATTTTCATTGCACTGCTTGCAGGAGTACTTGAATAAAGGACATATCCAATGCCATGGTGTGCAAGAGGTTTTTGTTCCAAGTTTTCTTGTATTTTATCTCATATCCACAAACACTAATGACATGATGCAGAACTAATTTTCTCAGAAACCCATTTATACCATCAGTTAAAAGTATTCTTAACTCAAAACGCTTTAAATTTTATGTCCTACTTCTTGCTACAAATCTACTTGCCCTTGGGGAAGAGAGATATAGGTTCGACGAGAAAGCTAAGCGTATTTCTTTGGGATTTTATGCGATAGACCAGCAGAAAGTGTATAACTGCCAAGTGTAAAATTAGGGGGGAAATGACCCATTGTCTCTCTGCAATTTATCCCAAGAACAGTCTGACTGCATGGAGAGTATTTGTGAGTTGCAACGTTAAAATCTTTCCACATATTCTCATTTGGAATCTAGCCTGGGCTTTCACCGGACAGTCCTAAAATAGGAATACGCTTTGATTTAAATCATTTCTTTATCTGTATGTTTAGTTTTGTTGATCTGTTTGGAAGATGAAGTTCGCCACAGTGAACTTCTGATTTTTCCATATTTAGATCCACCTATCTTCAATACTGACCACCATGACACTGCTATCACCACCTCAAAAAGTGGGATTTACATATTAACTGTTATGCGCCATGTCATTATGTACTTTGTTTGGATCTATCACATAAAGTCATATTAAAATAATAAAATGTTGTTTGGTAGCATAAAATTTCAAGGAGTACTAATAGTTTTATGGGGCATTCTGAACCTTTATTTTTAAATGATATTCAACAGTTCTATCTGGAAATCTCTCAATTTAGTTATCTGCAATTCAGGAGTTGATGTCAGGCATTTCTGTTTGTTTACTGCAGCATATTATAGATTTAACCATGTATGAAACATGGATTTAAATTTTTATGAGTGCAGCTGTAAACAATCCAATCATCTCTGAATGTTCCTTCCTGCTATTTCTGTGTGAAACATTTCACACCTTTCCCTAAAGTACAAAAACAATATGCTAATTTTAGTCTGTTTGCAAAGCAATTGGAAAAATCGAGGTGAGATTTTTATTTTTTATTTTCTACTCTGCTGAATCCGAATCTTTGCCATTTTACTCTCCCCTGAGCAGACAGCCCCGGAGTTCAACTTACAAAGGCAATTAAAAAAAGTAGCTCCTGTGTTGTATAATTTATTTTGTGTTCTATTTACAACAACTTAGTGTGAAGGACTGTTGCAGAGAATTCCAGGAGTTTAAAAAGAAACGAAAGCAAATTTAGACTTTATTAGTCATGAAAACTTCATGGCATGTCGGGATTTCCAAGTGACCCAAATGAAATGAATGAATACTAATATATATCTCTATATATAAATAACATTTGACGGTTCTATGGACCTTGGTGTCAGCTCCTCTTTTTCGAAAATGAGCTCCTTTTTAGACTCCATTCAAGACTTGGCCACCTGACAGGCAGCCAAACTCTGAGTTTTATTTAAAAGTAGAAAAACCATCAGCAGAAAAAGCTGGCCTTGGGCAGCAGTGGACCTTCCAACAAATGAATAATCCAGAAGCTAAAGGGGCCCTTTTTGGTTGGCAGAGCTCAGCTTTGACTCCATAGAGGGAGATGAAGTTTTGTTTCGACATCTTTTTCAGCACAGTGGAAAGGACAAAGAGGACAAAACAAAAAAACACTTGATCTTGAACTTGAGTGACTCACTCCTTCACCATTCAAAGAGATGTTTAGAGATGTTTTCTCCCCAGAACGTTGTTTTTTTTCTTTTTGTTTAAGTTTGTTTATGAACTTTATTTTTTATCAAAAAAGTGAAAAGGAAAGTAGCATTTAGCGTTTGTTCCTGCACCTCTGAATAATGCAGACATTATGTGGGGGGTGGGGGGGGGGGTAGATTAATTAAATTATGTCCCTATGAACTGCTGAGGAGTTTTTATTTAAATTGACTTGATGGCAGAAATCCACCTTGATGCTGAGTCATGATTGCCAAGGTGCTGTCTTAACTCTCTCTAGAGTCTAGACCAAGCTTCTGCCCCTTTCTCTGAGTTTGATGATTGACACAAATTCAGGTAACAAAACCACTGATTAAATCCTGACCATCTGTTTACAGTTTCATGCACTTCTGTTTGCCTCCTATTGTCTTTACCGCAGCCATGTTCCCCCCGATGATTCCCTCTCAGGCTCCGTCGCTACTTTCTCTTCATTCCTTTCTTGTCACTTACTGTGCTCACACAGTATGAGTTGCAAAAAACTCCTCAAACACATCAACACCCCCACAGTTAAGCCACTTTGGGAAAACAACAGAGCAGAATGTCCTTGAAGAGGAAAAATAAAAAATAAAATAAAATAAAAACAAACAAAGAAAGAGAACTAACAAGCCAATCCGGGATGCTCAGGAAGCCCCAGGTAATTAATTAAAATCATAGACACGGGTTAACACCCTGCAGCGCACTTCCAAATTGCAACAAAGTGAAAGCTAATTAGGCTTGTCCCTTAAGCTGCGGTGTTTTATTTATGACAGCATTTCCGGAGCCTTTTCTCAATTTATGGTGCTGCTTCAATGGTGACCAGCAAATTTTGCACTGCTGATTTAAATTTTGTGTGTCACAGGGCCGTCGTAAATCCTATTTTCTGGTGGAAATAGAACATTAATAATATAAAAGAAGAGTTGTTTATTAATATTAATAGTTTGGGGATGCATCTGTGTGTGGCTTTATGGGCTGTGTTAAAGCTTCGCCCCGGGACAGTCTCCTGCCTGGTCCTCAGAAGCTATTCATCACAGGCATAGCGTCACCATTGGGCTGCCTCATCCATAAAAAGCAATAAAGTGCTTCCAAGGATTGAGTCAGACACACTGGCCAGGTCCCTTAATTATGCTTTAGCTAGTTGGACAGAAGTGAGAAAACTACCACAAGTCAAGGTTCAAATTGCTGTGGCTTAGTGAATGCTAGAACTTCTCAGCTAAACATGCCCACAATATAAAAATATAAAATAAAATAAAACCATTGTGTCTGGTTCAGGATTGGGTTTCACATAAGGAATGCAACATGAG